TAGAGAGAAACTAAACAGAACAAATACAAGCAATATAAGATCAGCAAAACAGAGATTTTTGTCATGAATTCTATTCTCGTCTACAATGTTGGAGAGTGTCCTTTGTTAAATATGCACATAGACCAAGGTGAGCGCCACAGGCTCTTTGGGTGCTCTAGTTTTCTGCTTTTTAAGTTTCGTTTTTGATATACGATCAATTTTTAACAGTCTTTTAAAAAGCTTGTTATTTTGAAACGGGGGAGCGAGCATCCTTAACATTTACTTTAATATTCAAAGTAGCCTGTGCAAAATAGTATTTTTATCATTAAAATTTGGTTTGCCTTTCATCACACTCCGTTTTAATATTCATAACAATTTTACTTTTCATTTTGAATATACTTCACTTCGAAGGTAAATATTGATTTATCTTCGATTGGGATATAAACAAATGTTTAACATTGATAACTGATCAGGATCAAAGGTTATATGTTATATAATATAGTATAAAATATTCATGTACATTTCTGTTTACAATAAAACTGCAATATTTTATTACTTTATATAGTTTAAAAGTTGAGCTTTTTCGGTGGGTTAAAAGTATTGCCTCCTGACCCATAATGCATTCCATACTGTAGATAAACAAAATGGCGGAAATGGATATTGCGTATAGTTACTGCGGGCATCAGAGCTGTAGAAATTGGACAAAGTTATTTACTAATATGATTGATGTTTTGAATAATTCGTCTTTAATTCTTTAATTTACGCCGTGCATCTGTTATAATAAACAAAGAAATATTTTGAAGACAAAGCCGTAATGCAATTTTCTTTTTCAAACGGAATTCTGTTATTAAAGCCTTCAAAGTCTCTAACACGCTATATTTGGATCATTTAATCGAAATGTACTGAATTGCATTCGAGGTGTTTACTTTGATCAGTTTTTAAAAACTATAAATATGACATGCACAGGGGCGGATCCAGCCATTTATAAGGGGGGGGGGGGGGGTCCTAACCCAGGATAAAGGGGGTTTCCAACTATATGTCCCCATTCAAATGCATTGATCGTCAAAACCCCCGGATCCGCCACTTCATGCACTATGGAAATCCCTCACTTTTCAATGACCCGCAACACGTGTAAATTATACTCATGATTTCCATTAGACACGTCAAAAACAACTATCATTTTTTAGCTCACCTGGCCCAAAGTGGAATATTGGAAAGGCCAATATCGTATTTTTAGGGGTTACAATTTCCTTTTTGTACGTGGTGAGTTAACCCCTGGACGGAGCTTTTTTTCTAAATCACTTGCGTTTTTGCCTGCACTAATTTTGGTAAAAAAAATTATGAATCAATTCAGCAGACATGTCATTTATTTACTCTCTGTTTGTTTGTTTGTGTTTGAGAAAAGTGTGATCAATATATATATATATATATATATATATATATATATATATATATATATATATAATCTTTGATCAATTGTCCCGACAGGAGTGATTGTCACTCAAACGATTTAGATCCCAAATGAATTTTTATTATAACGGAACTAATTGTCCTTTTATCCTACTAGCAGGTTCCAGTAATCTATAAGGGTGCATATTTCCCACAGAAAAATGTTTAAGGAGTAAATCGGTTTAAAGTCGGTTCTGGAAAAAGTCGACACAGGCGCATGTTATGAAGTTGAGTAAATACTGAAACACGTGTGACTCTCTGATTGGTACTTTCTCTCTTTATATTGGTCTTCTTGTTAGTTGTTTTTTTTAGCTTTGTATCAATCCAATGAGTCAACCCCTTTTCAATGGGTTTTTACAGTTTATTCTCATATAATAGAAAAGATAGGATATGGGATATACAACCATGGCACAAAATCAGTACATGCACAGCAAAACACAAAAAGCAAAGGAACAGCGCTTTTATTTATGTATATTGCGCTTTAATACCATTGTCCAAGATGAGAGGGTGGGTTGGGCGCCCGCAGACATGGTTAACCCCGCCAAGTTTGCTCTGTGGATGTACAAAAATCATGAGCCCGAATTTCATTGGTTGTCTCAAAGACATACCATCGGTTTTGTCGTTTTAATTTTTTTACATTTGTCATGTCGGATGCTTTTATAGCTTGCAATGCGGTATGATTACTTCTTATTGTCAAATGCCGTAGGATATTACAATTTATATGCAGTGCATTATTCTGAATGGATGAAACTATAGAGCAAAAAAAAAAAAAAAAATCAACATAAGCTATAAAACGGTAAGCATTTTAGAAAAGCTATTACTTGTATTATTAGCCTGTATAACGAAACGCATGAGTGATAACTGTATCTTTATCGATTATTTGTAACTCATGAAGTGATATAAAATACACGAATCAGTTAATTACGAATTCGAAAGTTAAATTAAAATAATATTTATATCTGATGCAAACACAATTGAATATTACAGACAGAAAAAAACTCAATTAATTTGAATCATGTAATGGATGCACCCCAATATTGCCCAATCAGACGTTAAGAAAGCCTGAACTTCATACGGAATTAGCTAATATTTATCAATACGAATCCCAAAAACAGATTTACCCCATTGTGACGTGCAGTGTATGACGTTTTAGACCCGGTCTCGTGTGACCCTGTAACCACAAACTTTAAGGCACTCATAATTAAGGATTTTTTTCCGGTTTGGAAACGACTTGAAACGATTGTTTAAATTTGATATTTGCTACCTGCTTTTGTCTTCATAACAGTGCTGAGATATAGAGAATGTCCATACGTTGAATAAAAAAGTGTACTGGATTTAGAAACAGGTAGAAATGTGAAGCTAACCGATCAATTCTATCCCGTTTCGTGAAGATTACAAATAAATTGTATACTGAAGACGAATGTATGGTTGTTCCCTCTATGTTTTGTAAAATATTCAATTGTTTTTCGTTCATTATTTTGTTCGAATTTGTTGCACACTGACATACTTCATTGTCCGTTACTATAGTAACTATCGATGATGCTTATGTCCGTTACTAGTATGCTCAAAGCTTTCAATTTTAATGCAAAACCACGATACAATGAATAAGCTTTAACAGGAGCTCAACGTGCTACTAAGTGATGTTATTAATAAGTTTTTCAAACAGATCTGAAGTACTTATTGTACAAATATGACAGATCTTATTAGTTTGAGAAGTGTGTAGCAAAATATGAATGGTTATGAATATAGCTATAGAGTGTTACATAACTTTTGATAACAATGAGTAAATATAGTTACAATACTGTTGTCAGGTCATTAAAGATGGCATATTCTTGAATTATTATTGATTCACTCATAGGGTCTTTGCATCAGAAATAAACACATTTATTCTAAAACCAGTTGTTGGAATGATACGGATTTTGTTCTTCTCATACATTTTATGATGGTATGATACTAAACCCCTAACGGGAGGGATTGTGCTTGATTTTTGTATCATGAAGACATAATCTTTCAATCAGTTTATTTGAGGTCTGGAGCTGTCATGTCAGTAACTGCTGGAAGTCCTTTGTTAATTTGTGTATCGTTGTCATTTTGCTTAGTTTCTTCTGTTACCTTTTCTGATATCGGACTCTGACTTCTTTTAAAATGAGTTTTACTGTGCGTGTTGCTGTGTGTTTGTTTATTCTACATTAGCTAGAGGTATAGGGGGAGAGTTGAGATCTCACAAAACATGTTTAACCCCGCCGCATTTTTGCGCCTGTCCCAAGTCAGGAGCCTCTGGCCTTTGTTAGTCTTGTATGTTTTTATTTAATTTTAGTTCATTTATATGTTTCGGAGTTTAGTATGACGTCCATTTTCTCTGAACTAGTACACATCTTTGTTTAGGGGCGAGCTGAAGCCCGCCTCTGGGTGCGGGATTTTCTCGCTGTGTTGAAGACCCATTGGTGGCCTTGTGCTGTTTTCTGCTCTTTGGTCGGGTTGTTGTCTCTTTGACACATTCCCCATTTCCATTCTCAGTTTCGAATGATATTTATTTCAGCCTAATAAACGGAGGGAAGGATTGTTATTATTTAAACTTTAAAAAAATGTTCAAGATAGAAAATTAAACAGTAAAACCCTAATTGGCATGAACACACGAATTAAATGCTTAAATACTCAGTAGTTTGCATTTTAATCATGGTAAATAATGACTTGACGAAGGTCATTATTTTATGCCTTAAAGCACATTTCATTGAAACTTGGTATCGTCCAGGTTGGTTCGTCAAAAGAATGACCTGTTGTTTTGAAAGGAAATAACTCTATATAGGTATATATTGGTAGAAGGGGCGGGAGTGCCACAACCACTAACCTTCGGCGGGAAAACTGGCAAACTGAATCCTTGTCATTAAGATCGGAGTCGAAAACATTTCTTCTTGAGCAGGGTTCGAACTTCAGACTAGCAGTTGACAGGCAAATGATCAGAAGATGACTATTCGACCACCATAGTCCAAAAATATCTATATGCCTATCAACGAAGGGGCTCATAAAAATATCCCTATGGCAATAGTACAACAGCCACACACTTTGCCTTTTGACAACAGCCACAAACTTTGCCTCTAATTGACAACAGCCACAAACTTTGCCTTTTGAAAACAGCCACAAACATTTTAGCTACTAGTGTCTGATGTTTTAAAAATAAAGATACATAAAATAGGAATTTACAATTTAAAGGATAAAAGAGTAAAATATAATCAAATTGATGAAAACTTCTTTTTACATTATAAAATAACTCAGGGCACCACAAAGCTTTTGAAGTCTCATGCAGTCTATATGGCTATTATTTATCATTGACCATTAAATGTATTTGTTTAAAGAACAATTTTTAACCGAAGTTTTGAAGCTTCTTTAATCAAATTTCAGCAGCAGTATTTTGATTGAATATACGTATATATTAAGTAGATTGATTGATGTTTGCTTAACGCCTATAGTGGCAAATATTTCATGCATGTTCAGGACGATGTATATAGGTAGATGTGTGTGCTTATAACTTATAACATGTAAAACAAACTATCTTTTTTTTATTCTCCTTACAGGTAAAAATTAAAATACAGAATTTGGAATAGCTATTGAATTACAAAAAATGGAAGCAGTTACAAATGTTAATGCAACCGGAAACATATCAAATGCAGTTACCGAAATGGCCTCAAACTTTACTGCACTATTAAGTAATGTTACAGATATGTTAGACTACTGCGATTACAACATTACAGATTCGAAAGGGATGTCTAATGGTACATCTGCTGGCATGACATTTAATAAGGCTGCAATAACAATTTTTCTCATTACCTCATACGTCATCATTTTCTTTGTTGGTATCGTTGGGAATTCTTTAGTCATCTATGTGGTTTTGCGTTTTGCAAAAATGAAAACTGTTACCAATTTGTATATACTGAATTTAGCTATATCAGATGCCTCGTTTCTGATTAGCCTTCCATTTATCATAACTACGACGCTTTTGCAACATTGGATATTCGGAACAGCGATGTGTAAAATATACAATGTATTGTATTCTATCAATTTCGTAACCAGTGTTTTGACTTTAACTGTGCTAAGTGGTGATAGATATCTAGCCGTTTGCCACCCGATACGATCTGGAAAATATCGCACCATTAATATAGCTTATTTCATATGCTTAATCATCTGGTCGTTGTCGTTTCTGGTCATGTTGCCAATCATTTTATATTCAACCACTGTATCAAATTACAAAGATCCATCTCTAAAGACATGTACAATTCAGTGGCCTTCAAACCAGCTACTTCCGCAAGGTAAAGCCTTTACCTGGTATACATTCCTTCTCGGTTTTGCGATTCCTGTTTCCATGATAACCGTGTTTTACTCTTCTGTTATTGTTCGACTTACGTGTGTTGGTCAGATGATAAAATCGAAGGGAAAACGTAAATCACATAGAAAAGTGACCAAACTTGTTCTAGCAGTTATTTTAGTGTATGTTTCATGCTGGTTGCCGCATTGGGTTTTCCAGATAAATCTAACATTTTTGCCTATGCATCAAAGGCTAGAGGACTGGGAAATTTATTTGTTTAATGTTTTCACAGTTTTAACATTTGCAAACAGTATGCTTAATCCGTTATTGTATGCATTTCTAAGTGACAATTTCAGGAGAAGCTTTGCTAAAGCTTTTAAATGCGTAGCATCAATAGAATTAGATAGAAAAACAACAGCCGGAGATAATAGTATTTATCCGAAATCTTCACAACAACATGGAGAGAAAAGAAATGAACGACATAAACCTAAATTTGAACTTGATACAATGAAGACAACGAATACGGGGTTTCTCCTCTCGCCAGATGAAAACGTTAACACTTCGCTCCTTGAAACAAGCAGTGTGTATGTAGATAAAGAAAGCCAAACGCAACAAGATGAAATTTAGCATACCGGAACAATTTCTTTATGGTAGGTAGAATTCATTAACAGCAAATTTTATTTGTAAATACCAATGAACACAGCAAGCATTTTAAGTCCATTCCACAATTTCCTTTGCCGTTAACGATCGGTTTAGTAGTCAATGCGAGTTGATTAAGATATGGTATCGACTCCCTCGTAAAGGATTACCCAACTTTTCAATTTGCACTAATATTTGGGCCACACAAGGGCCTTATTGCCCTTACTCCTTTAAGTTTGGCTTCGTCTCTTGGTATATTTTCCATAATGATATATCAGCCAATGCCATTGTGGTAGTCTGCATTTTTGTGCCTGTAACATTGTCATATGGCTTGAATTTTAAACAATTTTATCAAAATAAAAAGCATTATACATGCAAATACAATGTTTTGAAAACAACCTTTCTCTTATAGCTTTATTATGCAATATCCTTTCAATCAATCATACAAATAATTCCTTCTTTGACATAATACTGAACATCGCATATCTGCAAACCACATTACATAATGTAAAAATGACAAAATACCGTGATATAATTTCTTAAGAAGGCCACACATTCATCATCAAATATGAATTATTCAAATACTTTTCAATGATAGCGTCAGTCGTCTAGTTTATAGATTCAATGACAAGAATGGCAATGGCAAGAATAACACATATCGTTTAATACTTACAGTGTATATAAGTTAACAGAGAAATTTCCGTTTACATATATCACATCTCCCTCTCTCTCCTTTAATTTTGCAATTGTTTTACTGTTAATCCTACATACAATAGTGTTACTTGTTACGCACATCTCTCTCCCCCTCCTTCTAGGGTTTCTTTAGTAGTAAAATTCATTTGATTACAATGTTTTGGATGTCACATATTCATCAGTTTAATTGTACCAGTACGTGACTTGTCGTTCAAACAAAACATTTGCAGTATTATCATTCAACAATAATTATGCTCATATTTATAAGTGTAACTATACATTGTGAATTATAGCTATTTGCTTCAAAGTATGATGATGATGATGAATGACTGCTTAACGTCCAGCGGCAAATTAATATGCATATTCAGGACGAGTACATGTTAGTTTAATATGAATATTAACCCTGCTTTGTACTAGACCGACACGCTGAGACGGATTTCTAACGTGCTAGTTCACAAGGTAACCGTACACAGGAAGACATGTCACCTTACACGGGCACATTATTCGGACTCCGAGCCGACCAGTCTTTGATCTTACTCCTTAATGACACGTGCTTAGCGGAGAAGCACATGTACCAATTTCAAAGTCTATGGTTTGACCCGGCCGGGGTTCGAACCCACGACCTCCCGCACTCGAGGCGAACACGCTACCATGAGACCACCGAGGCGGTTTGCCTTAAAGTAAAAACCGTCTATACTGTGAAGAATGCGATTCAAAAATATCAAACACGAAACACAAGTGCATCGAACTGTTAGCCTATTTTAGGTTATAAATGTGTTTTTATTTTTGAGTGCATTTTTTTATTGTTGGCTGAATGGTAGGTTTTGAAAATTTGATTTGACACAACTTTGAGTCCAAATAACGTGATTTAAGCAACTTTGAAACAAACTTTTCTAAAAATAAAATAACATTGCAAAATGATAGGTTTTGAAAATTATGCTTGACGCAAATCAAGTGAAAAAAATGCATAATATACTTATTTTCACCTGAACTCGATTAATTAATTACAACTCTATTATAAATGATTAATCACATATTATCATTAATGACAGATGGCTTTCAAATGTTGCATGACAGTGAGTGCATGCATAGTTTTATCCTGTACTCTATGTCTTCTTGATTAATTACTTAGCTTCAAATCACAATATATAATAATCATAAAAAGATGAGTAATAAGCCTAATGAGCGTAAGATAACCAGGCATAAAGATATTACATCTTCCTATATTGATATTTTTTTATGAAATAGCAGCGTTCTGTCTGTTAGAAAATGTGTGCAAGATAAACATGAATAAAGAGATCATGTCTTCCTTATTAATACCCATTCTCTGTAACCACTTATACTTTTTTGGAACATATAGTCACCGATCTTTCTGAAAATTGGCTGAGATGTAGTTCCTAATAGCCTAGTCAGAAAAATAATGCCAACCGACATATATATTGTTTGGTTACCATGGTAACAGGGGAGAAAGATGGGATGTTTGAAAAAGATACAATATTTGGTGTAGTGTTGTGAACTTATGCGGCTACATCTATTAGAAAGAAATATAAGAACAATTAATTTCAGTATTATTTTTATCATAAATCAAAAAAGTTATGGGGAATCTACCTAGAAATGTGTGAAATTAATTTCTAAAAAAACATCATTGTGCAATATTCCTCAATAAACGAATTGTCTCCCTTTGGTCTGTTCAGACCTCTTCAGTGCAGAGGTAAAAAAAGTGTTCACTGAAAATAATATGACAGAAAGCTATCTGCCTCCAAAACATTTTACTGAATTTCGTAGTAAAACACCATGTTTCAAAATATTTTTGAATGTAAAAGAAATTCATTGGGATAAGATGATATTAATGTTGATCTTAGATTTGGATTGCCTGTTATGTGAATTTGTGTCCTGTCATGATAATGTAAATATGAGGCAGGTGTTACCTGTGAAAGGGGACGAAATCCGTACAAATTATTTTTTTAATTCAAGCATATTTTTAACTCCAGAATCTGTTAAGAAAGAAACGGAAACGTTTCCGATGTTGGTCCTGTAACAGTTGTTAGGGATTTTAGTTGTGATGTCATTTTCAATGTAAACAAAGAAACGCTATGATTTCATTAGTCATGTTGATTTTTATAATGATTTTAAGTGTCTATTGATTTGCTTACTGTATAAGGCACATCCCTATAATATTTTACTCAAATCCCGAGATAAACGATACCGGAAAAGATTTCTGCGCAGATGCGGGAAAAAAAAAGTTAGAAAAAAAAAGTTAACGATTTTGAGTTCATTAGTAGATTGATTATTTCATATGTTCTTTTTTTTATTTTTTTTTATTGATTTTTCTACTAACTGTAATTGGGGACTTCGTCCCAATAATATTGTAATTTGTGGAAACTATTTACTTGAACTAAACAATCGTGAGTACAGTAGACAGCGAACGGTGAAACGTTTAATATCATCCAGTTTAGCAGTTCACAACAACTAATCTTAGAACGTAAAAACCACCGTTTGAAGGAGCAACAGGTCCAACATGTCTTCACGACAAGAACTTGAAGAAGCATTGTACTTTCCATTGGCCCAGGTTAGTATAGCTCAAATTTACTATTCACATCATTTCTTTTCATACCCACAAAAAATTGACAACATCTATATCTACATAATACTTCTTAACTTCGATATGTTGAAGATTACAAAATACCAACATTGTTTCTAAGGGACAACCATTTGATTTTTTAGTTGAAAGGGAGGATTTTGAAAAGAAATAAATTTGCCTGGTAAGAACTGAAAATAAATGACAGGATGTTTGAGGATACAATGTGTTCGAAACGAAAATTAATTTTCTCACGGCAAAGAAAAATAAGCAAGCGTAGCAACAGATAAAAATAACTGTTTATTTTCGGGGGAAAAAAAAACCTCAAACCCACCCCCACCTGCCACGAATGAAAACAGGCATACTTAGCAACCGATGAATAAAAATGATCAATTGGGGGGAAAAATACACCTTTCCACCTACCCTCCCCCCCCCCCCCCCTATATCAAATGGTCGTCCCCTAATTGGCGGTTCTTGGCAAGGTTTTAAAGGTCATAAATATCGAACAAGTACACTGCATGGACATACAAAATCACTTGTGGTGTCTTTGGTTATATATTTCATATGAACTGTTGACACAGAGATATGTCTCGCCTGTCGGCATTAAATTTAAAAATAGGCAATCTGATGGACACCTACATTATTCATTAATTCAGTCGCTGAACCATGATCTAGTTGGCAGGGTCTGAAAATGGTCAACAAACTGAGATGTACAAACAGTAATGTAACTTTATAGAAAATAACGTTGTCTAGCAGACTGTACGGTATGGGTTTTTCTCATTTTTGAAGGCCGTACGGTTACCTATAATTGCTTACATCCACTTCATTTTAACTTTAGTGAATAATCTCATTAGCAATCATACTACAACTTCTTATTTTTATATTCATCAGAAAAACTTAACATTTAAAATTGCTAATTAATTCAAAGTCACTGGACCATGACCTAGGGGGCAGGGTGTCGAAATAGTCTTCAAACTGATATCTACTGATACATGTTGTAATGTCGCTTTATTTAAATCTCATTGATCTATCACAAGTAGTTCTTATCAAACTGACTTAAGCAGAAAATTTTAACATTGAAAATTGTTCATTGATTCAAAGTCCAAGATATGTTTATAGACTGTCAAAATGTTTTAACTTGCTCTGGTTTTATTAATTGATTTACAACTAAGTGTAGCCCCATCTTAATTGCTTGTAAATAGATTTTATGCATAAAATATGTTTGATATGATATATTTTAGTAAGGCCATTTTTAAATCAAAGTTGATTGGCTGTTTCTTGAGCCAAAATGTATGAACTGGTTACTTTATAGATAGATATGCAATTCTGTTTCTAAAATATCCTTAAAAGACACATTTTTATAACACGTGTACATTTAAAACTTGAGGAAAAAGTTACAAAAAATATGTTTAAACCAATAACAGATTCATGTATTGTAGGAAGAGCCAATTTTGTTAAGGTTGGTCAGGAATCTGTAAATAAACAATTTTCTATTTATTGCTTGGGATTTCTTACAAAGGCATACATTCTTTATTTGAATTAAGAAATTGTCTTTTATACTTCTATTTGCAATTTATATAGTGCTTTATACGGAAGCGTATTAGCGCCACACAATTTTTTTTTTATAATTTTCTTCCTATCTTTGCGATATAACGCAAACCTTTGCGATATAACGCAAACATCTTGATTTCAATTATTCATTAAGTTTTGTATATATGTCCGTCTGTCATTAAATTTCTG